CTAATACTCCTAGCATTCAAATACAGACCACTAATGGTAGGCCTTTTACAGTAACTACTTTATAATATTTATTTGGGCATTCCGTGTCTCCCCACATAAATTCATAACTAACCTCCCTGCCCCCCCAGTCCCTAGTTTAAACATTCCTCAACTATTCTGCACATACGCCTCCCCAATACACTGGTTCCCCTATGGTTCAGATGCAACCCGTCTGGCTTGAACAGGTCCCACCTGTTCCAGAAGGTCTTCCAGTGCCCCATAAACCTGAACCCCTCTTTCCTACACCACCATTTTAGCCACGCATTTAATCCCCTTATCTCAGCTAACTTAGCCTGACTTGCACGTGGCACGGGAAGTATTCCAGAGAATACCACCGTGGATGTTCTGCTTCTAAACTTATCCGCGACTTCTATAAATTTATCTTGCAGAACAGCCCTCCTGCTGGGAGCTCCACTCCGCTCACATGCTCTGATACAAAGCCTCATTAATAATTTAGCCATACTAAGCTGCTTATATTGTGGGCGTAAATAAATGTCCGTATAGCACAGAAAAGCTGGCGCACCACCAAATGTTGCGCCTGTCATCTGAAGCCCTAGTGATTATTGCGCATGCGCGATTTAATCGCGATTTGATATCGCCCAGCCCTAATTGAGAGTGAGCCTGAATCTTGCACATCCACTGGGAGACTATTCCACAGCTGAGGAACTCTATAGGAGAATACTCTGCAGCCTGCCATAGCTCTTTCTACCCTGGGTAGTAATAGTGATCCTGCTCCTTGAGATCGAAGCAAACGAGCATGGTTGTAAGAGACAAGTAGATTTCTAAGGTATTTTGGTGCGAGGTCATTCTGTGCTTAATAAGTTAATATCAGTATTTTGTAGTCAATTCAACACACTGTACAATCTAATATGTTGACTTAGCTTAAAAAAAGTATGCAAACTCATTGCCTTAAAAAAACCAAGTCCAATGAATTTAGTTATAGTAAATTAGGTCAGCTTCATTATTCTGAGTAAGAAAGACTTATTTCATGTCACATTTCATAAGTTAACTCAGCTTGATAATTCTGAATAAGTGGGACTTATGTAGCTTACATTTTTTAAGTGAGCACTTCTTAATTGTAATTATTGACCTCACCATACCAATTTCAGTAACTGATTTTCTGGCTCAGTTTACATACTGCCTTTAAAATGAAGATTACTGTACAATAAGCATTTGCAATCTATGTAAGAAATCCACTGAGAAGAATGAAATAAACAGTTGATATGCATCACATTTATTTTAAATGCAACAGAACACATGCACAATTAATCAAAATTTTTAATCAATCCTTTATTGCCCCTCATGGGGAAATTGTTTTTATGCCTCCCTCAACTAGCTCTTTGTAGAGCAAGCTGTCCACAAAGGGCAGCCACCTGTAGCGGTGCCCAGGGAGCTGGGGGTTAAGGGCCTTGCTCAAGGACCTGCAGATATGCTGAGGCTGGGTTTGAACTGGCAACCTTGTGATTACAAGCACAGCCCACTGAGCCACACGCTGCCCCCAAATGTATGAAACGTATGAAAACACTGTGTGCTACACTGTAAAACCTGACTAGTTATTTCAACTCAAACTTTTTGAGAAAACTGATTGCCTTAAATCATTTAAGTTTATGAACTCAAACAATTAAAGCAAAAGTATTTTTTGTATTGAGTAAAAGTAAATTAAGTATTTATAATTTAAGCAACTTAGTTAAATCAAGTTGAGGATCAGCTGCATACACTGTTAAACAGTATTTCTTAATAAATAAATAAATAAATTTCTCAATAAAATAAGTAAGTTAATATAACTTAATTTTGCCTAAAAATTGGATTCACTCATTTCCACAAATTTGACTTTACTCAAAAATTAATTGTTTGAGTAGTAACTTAGTTGTTTTGAGTGTACTTAGATTTCTGGAGCATTTTAAGTTGTGGCGATATAATTCCAGTTTGTTGCATTAACTCATTTCCCCTTAGTTGACTTCATGTTCACTACACTAAAACCTGACGAGTTAGTTCAACTCAAACTGTTTGAGGAAACGGATTGCCGTAAATCATTTAAGTTTATGAACTCAAACAATTAATTTTTGAGTAAAGTCAAATTT